AAATCGGAACAGATTTCTGCTCTGCTAATCTCTTAGTACACTTAAGAATGCTCAAGATTCGGCCTCTGGAAGCCTCCCTAGCCTGTCTTCACTCCTGCTGGTCCCTGCACTCCAAGCTACAGCTAAAATGAACTACTTTTGGGCCTACTATCTGGTGCCACTTCCCTGACTAATTCTTGTCTCTCTGCCATGGCTCTCGTATTACCTGACCCCTCAGGACAAGGTGAGTTTCAAGGGAAACTGGTCTGATGTGAAGTAGTTTCACGGTGGTGACTGAGAATCTCTCATCTTCATCATCCCATGTGTAAAAATATGTGTCTAATAAAGTCCATTCACAGAAGGGATGGTCGGCTCTGTAACCGTGTCCCTTTAAATGCTGTTTCCGAGAGGGTATTTTTCAATTCGAGAAAAGGTCATGGTAACTTTAGCTGGTAAAAGGGGACGAAATCTAGAGGAAACAAACTAGTACTCAGTTAAGTTTTCCAGCCTAGTTCTGGTCCCTAAGTCACAGGAGGTGCGGCAGAGCGAACAGACAGTGCACGGGCGTGAGAGAGACACACACGTGCTCTGGGACTGGCTCTCTGCACACCACCGGCCGCAGAGCACGGGCTGTCAGCCGGAGCTCACCCTGGGAAGTGCCGCTGAGACCGGTCAGGTCTGAGAGCCATGGCCGGCCGGCCAGCGACTCTGCCTCCCACCTTCTTTGACTTATTTATTCACAGTGATGTTGTGCTTGCCTGGATCCTTTTCTGAAACTGAAATTTCTTGAGGGCAGAAATGGTTTCATTTGCTGCTGTCTGGTCAGAAAACTTGAGAATCTATAGCTGACACTCAGTACATGCACCGTTGAGTGAAGGAACAGAACCTCCTAGCTCAAGTGCTCAGGACACAGTTCACACTGCTTGAGACACACAATTCACACTGCTCAGGACACACAATTCACACCGCTTGGGACATACGGTTCACAATGCCCAGGATATACAGTTCACACTGCCTGGGAAATACAGTTCACATTACTCAGTACAAACAGTTCACATTGCTCAGAACACAGTTCATACAGCTCAAAACACACAATTCACACTACAGACAGGATAACTTCTGCAATTCCTTCTCACCTGATCGGTAGCGCTCATCTCTGGCCCCTCCAGAGCGAGTTCGATGGTACTTGGAAGGAGCGGAAGTCTGAGCCGCAGTGGGAGCAGGAGTCTGGTTTCTGTCTTTTTGTCCTGTTGAATCAGTTTCTAAAAGGAAGTTTGAAGATGGTTACCCAATGGCAACAGGGGAAGTGGTGTCTTCTGAGCACTCGGCTCAGTCCTGCAGCAGCGGCAGGCAGTTGGCCTCCGTCTACAGTAAAGGGCTAACAGTTAAGGTAGGCACAGAAATTCAATGTGAAGGCCTCAGGCTAAAAACTCACCTTACAGCTGTAACCATCACTAATAATCTGATGGGAAAGAAATAGCTGGACAATAAACGCTGTGTGAAAGGCAACCTAAGACTGGCCCATAAATGGCTGAATCACAAGGTCATGGTTGTTACCACTGGGTTTGTGTTTTCTGCAGCAATGAGGACAACTCAGGCCTCACGTGAGCTAGGTATGGCTTCACCACTGAGCGACACCCCACGTCTAGAGGATCTTTTAATATACTGTATTTGAGAGAACAAGGAGGGATGTGTGTGAGGATGCTCTCCATCTGTATGAGTAGACTAGCGATGTTCTTTACGGCTCCTATCGCTGGAATTTTCACTGCAAGTCGTCAACTGAGCAGAGTATGACAGCGGTGGAGCTTTTAACCTGCCATGTCACATACGATGTGAGTGTCACGTCACATGGCACGGGGGAGGTCATAACAAGACAGCCCTCAGTCCGGTTCAGGTGAGCTGCAGCCCCATGCCGGCTCACTCTGGTCTCCCTGTCCTGACTCTGGCTGTCCCCTGCCACTCCCTTTAACATGTCGACAGACACAGACTTTAATGGCTGAGTTTGCAAACCAGCCTTTAAGTCGCCCTCAGTTCTCAAAGGTCCACTTCAAGTAAGAGCTGCACAGAATTCACTTTGCTCTCCGTCTCTTCTTCGTGTGTTACTCTTATTAGTCTTGGACAATGGTCAACAGACTATGGCCCATCTCCTGGATTTTTGTTTCATTTTGAGACGGGGTCTTCATGTAGCCCAGACTCCTAGAACTCCTGTCTCAGCCTCTGCAGTGCTGAGATTACAAGTGTGCACCACCAAACCAAGCTACACTGATTTCACTTTGCTTTTGCTTTTGCTTGAGCAGGGTCTCACATCTTCCTGGCCAGCTGGGAACCCAGTATGCAGGTGAAGCTGCCCTTGAACTCCTGATCCGCCTGAGTGCTAGGATCACAAGTGTGCCAACATGTGGAAAAAGGCCTACATCTGTTTTTACAAACAAACGTATTGGGACATGGCCAGGAAGAGCCACGTCCCATGTCTGTGGCTGCGTCCACGCCGTCTGGGCAGAAGTGAGTGGCTAAGACAGGCACTACAGGACCTTTCAAACCTAAAATACCATCTGGCCCTTTACAGAAAGCCGTTACCAACCCATCTACAATAATCACAGCAGCCTAGTTTCCATTCTGCACAATAAGCCTGCAAAGTCGGGCCCCTGCACCCCCTCAGCAGGGAGAGACGTGGGCTGGCTGGCTGGAGGCTGCAGAGCCAGAGCACAGACCCAGACTTGTCCAACTGCTGCTTCTCAAACAAAAGGCTCTAAAGAGGGACGAAGGAAACCTCCCAGGACTAAGAAAGGAAAGTGATGGGGATTAATGACTCAGGCTAGGAGCATCAGTGCTTTGGGATTCAGAGTCAGGAGTTAGGTAAAGAGGGAGAAGCATCCGACCAACCAGCCAAAAACCCCACAACACCACACACTGTCAGCCACAGAAGAGAGTCTGCAGAAAGCCACTTGTTAGAGAAAGTACTGGAGATACAGTCCAACTAACTTTAAATGGAGGACAAAACCAGAGCGGAGCTGTTTTCATTCTAGTCAGGTGACACACAGGAAGGAAACCACATTCGCACACATGAGCTACTCTGTAAATGTGCACAGGGGACAGTGTGAGACGGCACACTCATCCTCAAACACGCTCCTAGTGGTGGGGAAGATTTGTTTGTTTATTTAAGTGGGATGTGTGTGTGTGTGTGTGTGTGTGTGTGTGTGTGTGTGTGTATGTGTGTAGGGGCCATAAAAAACTACAATTGTTATTATCTACCATTGATTATTTTACTAATCAAACAACATAACAAATCACTCTAAGAATCAATCCAGATTGTATAGTTAATAATTTAAATGTTAAAAAGAATGAACGTAAATTCTTACATAAGGGGAGACACAGAGATTTAAGTGTTTTTACTGTCTTTCTCAGACATGCTTCGGCTTTATGTTTCCATATAAAAATAGAGAAAGATAATGTAAGCTAAAGAACGAAAACTGCCACGGAGACACGACAGGCATACATCTGGGAGCGACGTGGAGAGAGCACACGTTTCCACTCAGGACGAGCTACAGGCTATCCCTGGTCAGGCAAGGGCACATTCACAGAGACAGTCTTCTAATGAAATGGGGTCAGCTGATGCACAGCCAAGCGACAGCCGAAGGGACACCAAAACAAAGCCCACACAGATCTCTACCAAGCAACCAAGTAATGGGAACTCTGTGGCGTCTGTCTCTGTTTCCTCAGAAATCCATTCATCTAAGCCAACCCGTTTTCTCTGGGGTCTAAAACCATGACAATCATTTTGTTATAATTTGTCAGAAATAAGCCCAAAAGTTCTATTTACAGTTTCAATAAAAATGTCCAACACATAATGCCATAGAAACATGGATTAGGGCAGAATAAACTTGGCTCAATTGTGGAACACATCTGCTTCGACTTGACAAGAGGCTATCTTCAAAGGGTGTGAAAACAGCCAGGCAAGTTGGCCCACAGCCATCATTTCAGCATTCAGGAGGCTGAGGCAGGAGAACTACTCAGAGTTTGAGATCATCCTGGGCTACACAGTGAGACTCTGTCTCAAAGACAACAAACAAAGCCAGTAAGATGGCTCTGTGGCCAAAAGTGCTGTCACCAAGCCTCACAATCTCACAACCAGAGCTCAATCCCCAAGACCCACGCGGCAGAGGAGAGAAGTGACCCCTGCCAGCTGTCCTCTGACCTCCATATACTCCACAGCGTGGACGTCCAGGGACGGACACGGACGGACGGACGGATGGACGGACGGACGGACACACACACACACACACACACACACACAAGGACACGGACGGACGGGGACGGACACACACACACACACACACACACACACA